TCTCTCACCATGCGAAGCCACCAGCACCACATAACTTGGACATCCAGGTTGAGAAACAAAACTGGTGTTGCTTGCCGCATCATGTAGGCCCCTGATGAATGACCCCCTCTTTAAGGGCCTTAACATTAGGATTCCGATTATAATCCCTGTTAAGGGGAGGGGGTTTATGAAACACGGGTCTGGGTTATCATGAGAAAGCTCCAGGAGCAAAACCTTCCCAGAGCTGAACACACTTTTTGGCTACATGGGGGGTTTCATAAGGGTTTATAGGGATTCAATAGGGAGAATGGAAAAGAAAATGGAAACCCTAAACCCTAAACCAAATGGAAACCCCTAAACCCTAAACCCTAAACTGCTACATGATTAAAGGGTTTAGGTCCCAACCTTGCTTACACAGGAGTTGACCGGCATTCGCGTCAGGACACCGACATGCTCATGATGGAGTCGGTTTTGGGATTAGCATTAGTAGTAGCAGAAAGGCAGTAGCAGCAGTAGTTTTGGGATGTGGCGGTTCCTTCCCCGCATGCCACCACCACCACCACCACCACCACCACCACCACCACCACCACCACCACCACCACCACCACCACCACCACCACCACCACAGACAACAACAACAACAGCAACAACAACCACAACCAGAACAACATTGACCATTGCAGAAATCCCAACCAAAAGGAAACCTGCCTTATTCCCCCATTTTGCGGAACAGACATGTCGAACGACTACTGTACCATATGTAAACATTGTATCCTTATACCAATCGCAAAAAAGAACGCCAGAAGTCCTTGCAACTGTAATCAGGAGCACCCTTGTGAACCCAAAAACAAAAAAATTGCACATGTTCCCCACTACTCCCCTTAAACCCTGACCATGAAGGCCTTTCACAGCATAAACTTGACGATTGCCCCGATAAACCATTTGTCCTTTGAGCCTCAGATCATTCTCAAGCATGGCAATGTTAACATCTGTGATAAGCCTACCCTATGGTAGTTTCCATTTTCTTTTCCAGTATCCCTATATAAACCCTAAACCCTAAATGCATAAACGGCTCGAGGCCCACACCGCAAGCCCCATCGTAGAAATAGGCGGTGCCTGTCGGCTTCTGACGCAGGAGCTGTGGCGGAGATCCTATGGCATTGGAGCTGCTAGACCCTCCTCGAGAGGCTGCATGCATCGGTATCACTCTACCCGTATATCTAGTGTCAATTCAATGGTAGTAGCAGAGGTGGCGGTATTACGACTGTGGTGGTAGCAGCAGCAGCAGCAGCAGCAGCAGCAGCAGCAGGAGCAGCAGGAGGTGTGTTCGTCAATGTTGTCGTCAGAAGTTCTGTTGTTCTGGCATGCTTGTTGCTGTTGCTGCTGCTGCCGCCACGCCACCGCCACCGCCACCGCCACCGCCACCGCCACCGCTGCTGCTGCTGCTGCTGCTGCTGCTTCTGCTGTTGTCCTTGTCTGGGGTTGCTACGAAGCCCGTTGCTGCACTCAAAGTCGCCATCTTCCTTTTGGGCCAAAATGCTTGGTAAGCCGTAAGGCGCTTCAGACTTAAGGATTTAAGCGTTTAGAGGGGTTCAGCTGTTCAAGGGCTTTTTTATCGGAGAAGTCCCAAACCGGCTGGTCGTCCTTGTCCTCAGGAGATCCTGGCTTAGGGCATTCTGGCTCAGAGTTTAGGCAAGAAGTATGGTATAGTCCCCACCAGCAGCACTGTTACTGAGCATAGCCAGGTGTGCATTCTGTGCAAGTGATATGCGTGTACCAAGATTTCGCGACTAATACCAACCAGCCGTCATACGCCCGATTGCTTCCAGGAACATGCCCCAGAAAGAGCCCGAATCAGAGCATTCATGGAGAAGGCTATCGTTTCAAGGCGCTGCTTTCTCTGCGGCCTCGCCCTTGCATGGGCTGTGAAAGGACATCAGGTGGGGTTGTTCCAGATTCGGATCCGTCATTAAGTACCCAACTATAGCAGAAGTATGTACCCTGATTTGAATTAAAGAAGTCGAGGTATCCCAAGGTTCCGTGGCGGCAGAGGATTGCAGTGAACCAGACGGTTGCTCATCATCCCGAAGGCTCTCCTCGAATGGATGGTTGCACAGCTTCCAAGCAGGCACAGCTGGGATTACACCTAAAGCCTAAGCCTCCATCCCTAAAACCCAAGGCGCTGAAGCGTATGCCCTCAAGCTTAAACCCTGGAAGGCGAAACCCTAAGCCCTGAACCCCCAAACCGCTAAATCCTAACCCCTCAACCCAAGCCAGAAGAAAAAAACAAATCAACCTTAAACCCAAAACCCTCATTCCCTCAGCCTTTTACCTTGCACCCAAAACCCTTAAACTTACCTGTGGTTAGTAAGGAATAAGAAAATATGATCCCTATATAACATATTCCCATATTCCATACTGACCAACAGTAAGTAAACCCGGTGAAGTTCTGGTTCGGTTCTGTTCGCTTCGTTTCTCGGGGGTTCGCGGCGGTTCGCCCCACACAATGGTTCAGTTCCAGAAGCTTCAGACGAGGTACACGGTTGTTAGGGTTTTGGGTTTAGGGCGTCCCTATAATAAGCTTTGCAGGGGATGTAGAGCTGTATAGGGGTATACATTTAGAGTTTCCCAAAATTATGGGTACTTTATTGGGGGTCCTTATAACATGATCTTGGGGTCTTTATTGTGGTCCCCCTAGTTTTCGGTTCGGTTCGGCACGCGGCCCGGCTGTGATGTATGTCTGAGAGTCGCATGTTTTTAGCAGTCCCGGTAGGGCTCACCACAAAGCAACACTGCCCAGACATTCACATCGCCGTTTTGCAATGCTGTTTCGGAAGCTCCAAACCTTGTTTCGGAATGACCCTTAGAGCCGCAAAGCGTGCGGAAACACGTTCTTGGGGCTAAGCTCGAGTTCGGTTCACTGGCCTCACGGCCTGCCTCCCGTGGGGTTAATCTTCCAGGACCCTGGGAGCCAAAGGCCTTCCTGAACCACAGGCCCCCTCAGCCCAAGGCTTCCGGCTTTCAAATGTGTTGTTTTAAATCTGCGTTGCGTCGTCTGTGCTCTGAGAGCGCAAGGGGTCCAAGCTGTGCAAACTACTCTCGTTGCTGTGCGCCTGTGCAGCGCTTGCGGATCATCGACGTCGCAGAGCTCACGCGGATTCACACCTCCTTACGTCCTTGAGGGATACAATTTGAACCTTTCTACAAAGTAGGTCCTGAACTCCCCCAGGCGTTCTCGGAGTAAAGGAGTTTGGCAGGTGAGGCTTTTGGGGGCCCCGAGCCGTGAAAGCTCCTCTGACTCATGAAGTTTTAGGGCCTTCATCCCTTACGGTCCCTGACCTCTTTTGGGCCATGATGTTTTGGCTTTAGGAATCGCACACACACACACACACACCAGGCACCTGCCGGTTGGGCATTTTGGGTGCCCAAACCCTAGCACAAACCTCGTGAAAAATAGTGTTAGGCGCCCGAACAGCTCCCGGAGCACAGTGGGCAAAGAGTTAGAAACTCCGCTGAATTCGAAGCCTTGATCCAAAAAACTCTTTAACACCGCCCGCACCTACGCGCAACACTTCCAGCGGCGGGTGCGGGAAAGCTCCGTGGCCCCAGAAAGAGCCCTGATGCCTTGATTCCCTTGCCTCTTTCGGCTGTGTGGGCGCAGAGCAGGGATTGTTACGCGTGAAACCCTGAACTTCCAAGGGTTGTTTGAGGCCTTCGAGCTTTTCGCCGCCGTGGAAGGCGTGCCACTTTTTGGATTTGGGTTGGCAGG